ATAGCGTGGGAATTTAAAATTGTCTATGAAAATCATTTGCTTGCCCCTGACTACCCCTTTACATTATAGGCGTGTTTAAATACGCTTGCGCAATCTAAGATCCCGGAAGATGCATCGTTTCTCTCTCATGACCTATCGACCTAACGCTTTCTCCTAGTCTTTAAACCGTTTAAGATTATGCGACCCTAGTACACAATTATATTAAACTTGGTTTAGGCAAAAGTTAAAAAAAAACCTTCGATAGTGCCAAAAACGTGTCACATAAGTCGGTTGGACTGAATCTGTTTTGCGTCTGTTCTATGCCTATTTTTTTTTAGTAATAAACTGCCTCTGACCGACCCAAACAAATTTCGTCACACCATAAATTAAATTAGTTAGACATTTTTTGAGCTAGTCTTTAATTTCATAAGTATTAAGACTGCATAAAATGCTGGATATGAATTCAGATATGACAGCTTTATATGACGACATTACAAAAGGAAAGGGGGCTGGACATTGATACACCTCTTTTAAGTTATAATCGCCTAGTACTTTTAACCAGTTAAGCAAGGATACTTGGATATATCTGGAAACAACGGATATCAAACAGCTTTCCATACCTTTCCGGAGAGCGGTACCAACAGTTATTCGATTTACTTCAACGGTAATAGACGTCCGTCGATTACCAAGAACTATGACGTCTACTGCTTGAAGGAAATCAATGTAGCCATTGTTTGAATTCTAAATTTATACCAGTTTTTAGAATTAAAGATGACGTAGATGTCACATTGTTTAAAACTAGCTGTAACGAACGACATCTGTAGTAGAAAAATTTCAGCGAGATCCATGCAGCCATCTAGAAATACATCCATTCGCATTTTTAATATTAATAAGAAGTAAGATTACAGCTCAATAAAACACAACAAAACTCTTCACGATTAACGAATTTATTTGGAAGACGTGATAATATTAAAAAAATCAATACTGGATAATCCTGAACGAGGCACCAAAATGAGCAAACTTAGTTTATTTAAAATAAGAAAGTTTACTAAAAATGGCAACACACATTTTCCCGCGTTTCAAATTGCTAGAATTCCAAATACAAAATGGCCGTTCTCACGATCATTACGCGTTCCTCAGAAATAACTCAACAGAATCCCCAATTTAGAACCATACCTTTATAACTTCGAGAGACTAACTTTCATTAAACTTAACTAAAGAAAACATGAATTAAGTTTAATTTAAGTAAAAAAAATATGCGAAATACGTAAATAAAATGCATTTGCATATTGATTTTTATTATAAAAAAACAAACATAAATTACTATAATTACAATATTTATCGGTTTATTCATGAATTTAAGCATTTAATATCGTAATAAAAATATATTTGATTCTTTATTTCAATATTTTACGTGATAATTAACATATAAATAATTAATAATTAATAAAATATTAAAATAACACAATAAAATGATTCTAAAATATCCGCCATTTTGTCTAATTCGTAACAGCGGGAACGCATCAGCTGGCGTTAGCAACACCTTTCCAAATCATCTGACCTTATCTAACAAACGAAATTCTATATCTTGCATCTTATTTAAAAGTTTTGTAAACGCCTTTACATTTATATCTTGCATATAAAAATAACTCTTATCTCAAAGCAATAAAGTTCATAATTCAATTATCACCCATACAATCCTCTCCGAAAGGTATTATTTACACCTGGTACTAAAGTTCGTATCGTAAAATAAACCTTATTCTCTGTGCCATAAAGTTTAATTTGGAATAAATTACAAATACACCCTAGTGTTGCATTTTGAATTTAACAGCTGTACTAAATTCGATAGGAATTATCGATATCTGTTATAAGAAAATAAGGCAAAGGTACTTTGGCTGAATGATAAAAAGGCAAAGGTCTTGTGGCTGTAAGACTATTTTATAAAGAGATTTATGCATTAAATGGACTAATTATTAATTAATCTAAAAAAATTAACGGCGTTGTTTAATTTTAAACTGGAATTTTAAGTCTAGATTTTATCTACTATATCTAGGTTAACATTATAAAATATCAAAATCACGCAACAAATTCGAGCACGTTAGGTTTTTTTTTCTCATACCATAAACCATACCTTTACGTACAGATAAAAAAGGTCTTTGCCCTGAGCTATCAAGATGACACCGAAGAAAAAAAAGTAAATTTTAGGATACTGGCGTTATCGGTGAACAAACATATGGTGTGTTGCTATCCTTTTTCAACCTATACTTCTCTTTCTAACATATTATTAAATAAGAACAGCTGTTTCGAAACGGGATCTTACTTGCGCGTGCGCAAGCTTTTAGGGTTGGCAAAGACAATCCTAAAATTAACAAATTAAAAATAAAATCTACTATATTACTGAAAGATCGTATTTCTACGTGAAAACGTCCGATTAAATAACTTTAATATAAGTACAGTATTAAAAAAAAAACTAAGTTATTGGTTAAGTAATAATCAAGTATGAATAAGTAACCCACTATAATACTTAAGAATCTATCTTCAATATTTCCTAGTTAAAAATATTAATTTGAATTTCTTCAATTTCGTACAAAAGTGACAACCCTGCCCACGTCAGCTGCTAAACGCACAAAAGGACTATTCTATAAGGAACAGCTGTCTCTTTATGCCATTTTTTTCTATCCTACTCAATTCTTAAAGGTTAGTCCCGGGCAATGAACAGGAAGAACCTATGGCTCAGTGGTTAACATATAACAAAGTCTCAGGTACGAATCTATTCGTCACTATTAGTTTCGCCTAAAACTTACGAGGAGAACTTAGTCAGTAAACGTGAAAAAAAAATTATCAACTTAATTTGCATTCTTGAATTATTTAATGTTACTAATATTATAAATGCGAATGTTTGGAATCTTGCCGATATTTTACATAGATGTAGAACACAGTCGTGAAGAACACATAGATTACTAAGTCTTTTTTAGTTCCCCGAAAATGGAGTCGCGGGCGATAGCTAGTTCTGTCATAATTACGTTAAAATAACTAACATTGTACATATGCAATTAAACGTTAACAACACTACAAAAAAAATGAAATGATTAATCGATATTTCATCGAACATTTAATTATTAATTATTCACATCACTAATAACAGCTGTCAAAATCCGCCATCTTTTTCGTTATTTTTAAATCTTAAGGAAGTCACCGGTACACAGGTCATATAAACAGATGTCAAACACCTTGTGATCAACCTAATTTAAAATCTAATAAAATTGAGAAATACATAACAAATAATTTTAAAAAGGTGCATCAAAACAGCTGGTTAAAATCGACAGATGCCCAATGCAGATGGCCCAACACTTCATACCATAATCCACCTTAACACCATACCAAAAAGGCACAATTTGCCTTAACTAATACTAGGTAATACATTTTTAATCCCACCGAATCTTTCTTTGTAAAATGAATCTTTTCTTAACGCTTTAAGGTACAATTTAGTATGATAAATATATTTCAGGTCCATTTCGGTCAAATACAACGATAACTTCTAATTCTGTAAGCAACTGCACTTATAACTGTCGCCCGCGACTCCGTCTGCACGAAGTTAAAAATAAAACAATTAGTAGCCTATATGTCTATGCTCTGTTCTACACAGCTAGGGTAGTCAGGTCGCCAAAGCAAGACACACACCAGCCAGTTTGGCCGGAAATTTAGGTAGAAATGCCACTATATTATTGCGCTCGGCCACTCTCGGTTGCGAAATTTAAAATGCCTAACAAAAGCCGGACAACCCGGAAAACGTTTAATTTGGCCAGACACGCAATCAAAAAGCTTACCTATATAGTGCAGCGGATCCGGAGATACCTTCTAACAAACATCCATCCATCTAAACATTCGCATCTACATATATAAAAGAAAGTCGTGTTAGTTACACTATTTATAACTCAAGAACGGCTTTACAGATATGGCTGAAAATTAGTGAGGAGGTAGCTTAGAGCCAGGAGACGGACATAGGATACTATTTATTCATTTTTTGAATTGTTTTAAGTTTAACTAATTAAGTTTTTTTTAAACATCCACGCGGACGGAACCGCGGGCGACAGCTAAGATTTCTAATTTATATGACGATCGTGTGTATTAACTGAAATATAACAATATTAACACATTCACTGCTATCATTAGACTACAATTTAACACGTGAACATCCTAATGGCATTGAAGTCTCAAGGTGCATTTAGAAAAAAATTACATGCTTTATTACTCATGCGAAACCAAAGCAGGTTAGTATAAAAAATAACATCATTTAATTAATAAAACTAAACTGCCCGTATGTAATATAAGCTGTAGCACGCGACTCCGTCCACGCGGTATAACAACTTAATAAATAGCCTATGTGTTCTTCCAGACTATGTTCTACAATGACAAATTTCATCGAGATACATACAACCGTTCTTTTATATACCTTCTAACATAAATCCAAACATAAGCATTTATAATATTAGTAAGAAGTATTATAAAATCATAATAGAAGTAATTCTTTACACTACACACTTTTACAGAAGGCTGAATGTCTACGTGAATAACAAACTAACTTATTTTTCTCTAATTCCTCGCTTACAAAGTCGCGAGCAACATCTATTTAATAAATTAAAACGATTTAACATTTCATAATACCTATATCTATATCCCGCGGCAATATTTTTTTTATCTATGTACAAATATTCCGATTTGCGCAGAAAAAAACCGTTAAAAACGGACACAAAGCGTACACAACATAGATAAAAAATAAATAGGGGAGAGCTGCATATAACTTTCATGCCAGTAATACTGGCCAGCTATACTTATGAAGTAGAATAAATACAAATATACGTTTATATTTATTCTAGAAAAAAGGTTATAATTGCATACGAAATTGTAGATTAGATTTTAAATCTAAACGCATAGAAATATGTAATTTATGACTACCTTTATCTATATTAAAATTCAAATTAAGAACACATAGAAATATTGTTAAAAAAAAAATCGCTTACCTAATCCCATCTTTTTCTTTATCTTTTTAAAGACTTTCATTTTCGACCCCTTCTTATCCTTAACAGGGGTGGTCTCGGGCTCCAGGGCCATGGGAGGCAGGACTAGAGTCTGGGGCGGCATTTGAGCCCCATGCCCCGAGCCCCTAGGACAAGCGGGGCAATGACAACCCCCTCGCGCCTGCCTAACACTCATACAATTGCTTACACCCATCATTTGTCCCGATTTACTTGTTAAAACGCGATAGAAAAGTCCAATTCTAATTCATGTCAAAGCACAGTCACGGAATAATTGTAATTTTAATTTCAAAGTCACGATAACACGACGCGGTGCCGATGATGCGGGTTGGGGACGCGACGCGAAAGACGTCCGCTCGCTGCGACGTACCGCGGCGGAGTGAGGGTACGCGCGTCACGCGCCAAGGGCTCGTGTTGCGTACGCACGAACTCCCTAAATGTAGGATAACCATAAAACATTGGAACAGTGTCCTTAGGAATTTTTTTTTCGACGTGACTGAATGTTTTGTTTGCCTAAGTATTGTTTGCTGATATTGTTAAACTTTTTCAGTTAACTTTGTGTTTCAACATTAATTTAAATTGTCGCAAGGTGAAACTAAGATATTTTTGTTATCAAAAATAACAAACACTTTCAGTTCAAATCACGTACGAGATTAATAAAATGAGAGCATTTTGCAACATATTGCAGTACAGTAAATTTTATTAATAAAAATTACACAACAAATTGCGTGCGTTTTTAATATCTTCGAATTTTATATGCTCTACTTAGCTTCACTCACAAACAGCACAAAACCTTTAAATTTAAAAGTGAATATTATTTATCAAAGTTTTAGTCACCGTATGAATCATCCATCTCTTTCAAACACATAACAAATAAAGGAGATGGAATGAAAAGGTTTTCAGCTGTTAGAACAAATGACGATAGGGCGTGATGCTTTCTAATTAATAGCCTTTGACTAACAATGCCGACATCTGCACTAATATTATAAATGCGAAAGTTTAGATGGATGGATGTAATAAAGTATCTATAGAACGGCTTATAGAACGTTGATGAAATTTGGCACTGATGTAGAACATAATCTGGAAGAACACATAGACTATTTGATAAGTTATTTTTTTAATTCTGCATAGAATCGCAGGCAACAGCCACTACCTTCTATATATTACCAGCAGTAACAAAATGACAAAAGGTTAGGTTACAAGAGAATTAACAAAAGTATCAAACCAAGAATGAAAAAATATATTATGAAAACTTAGTTCAAGGTAAATTAAACATCTTGAATGATGTAAGATAAAATTCCAAATATATTGAACGTCTTTTTTTATTAAACAAACTAGTTTAATTATATTTTTATCAACATTTTCCTCTTGCACAATTTTTGACTAAAGTTGCTTACACAAAACCTGTCGACTCTTACTTATGCAACTTACAGTTGGTTTCTGAGACCTAAATATCTGTTCAAAACACATCGTCTTCCCTGTCATTATCTTTGACAAAACAGAGATAATATATTTTTGGTATTATTTGAAGTCGTTATAGAATCGCTTCGAATGCACTTTGTCTAACACCCCTGGAATTCCTGATAAATAACTTAAAGTGAAATTCATCATAGAAATAACCAGTAATATAACAAGAAATATAATTAAAATTGTAATTATAATAATCAATTACGTAATTACGATCATTTTTTGATTACAACATTAGAAACCTGTTGTTTATAATAATCCTACTAATATTATAAATGCTAAAGTTTATTGATAGATGTTTGTTAGAAGGTAGCTTTAGAACGGCTCAACGGTTCTCTATGAAATTTGGCATAGATTTATAAAATAGTCTGGAATAACAGATACTACTACTATTTTCTTTAGTTTCTCGCAGACGGAGTCGACAGCAACAAGTAGTAATAAATAAGTATGATAATAAGATTTAGACAATAGTGACTTTGTGTCTGGAATTCTAAATTCTAGTATGTACATTTAAGATTATAAAACTGCGCCTAAACCAACATATTAAACTCAATACAACCGAATACAGCCGCAGCTTGTCAATATAAAAACTTCATACACTTTTCACCCCAAATGTCATGCGAGCTTCATATAATCATTGATCAGATAGAAACGGACTAAGCAAGAGTCGCCGTTATAATAAATTCAGCCAATTTTAATAGTCGCATAAGATGACAATCACACTAGCATAGCTGAAATTTACATGAAATTAAACGCATATTTATTGTTTTTATTTGATAGAGCGGAATACGAACGCTCGTTTGAGAGGTCCTGTCGTTTAAAGTTAAATTGCTAGCTTCAAGCTAAAGTCTCCCCTCATAAGTAATTGCTCAATTCCAGTAAGGAGTAAGACAAAGGTCTCCTCGCATTCCGAGCTGCCTAAATGTCGGGAAAGTAGACCTATTGCAATTGTGTAGGGTGACCATACTAAAATATTCAGAACGTAAGGATAATATTAAAAATATTTTTTTTTATTCTAATAACTATTCTTTTTAGATAGATATTGTTACATGAAATTAGAAATTTATTAGTAAAATGTGTTGAATTACAATCTTTTGTTGACTTATTAAAGTTATATATATTTAATTTCACCACACTCCAACTATTAATTTAACATAAATTTAAAACCACAACTTCTTGATAAAAAGGCATTTCTTTTACATTGACATTAACAGACACACTAAATTTAAAAATACAATTTTTTCCTTTTTTATCACTAATGTCAGTTAACATGTAACCTCCTTTAACAAAATGTAAAAGGCTATTGGTGATGGTGGTAAATTGATGATTTTGTTAATTCTTAGAGACCCAAAATTATAATAGATATAGCTTAATTACGTGCAAAAATAAGTATATCAACATTAAAATAATTTCTTATTAATCTTCAAACTACAGGAATATCCTACATTCTTAGCAGCATGGTTACTTTAAAGACAGATGCGCAAGCGCACTCCACCTTGCGGAGGCTGCGCGTGTCGCAGCGCCATCTGTCGGGCGTTCGTTGACCCATTGAGTTTAACTATTGTTTCTGCGATTTGTATAGGACCGGATACGTTTGTGCTATTTCCTTATTATTAGGGACTAGCTGTCGCCTGCGACTCCGTCCGCGATAAAACAATTAATAAGTAATGTTAGGAAGAAAATTCGACAATGTGCCGGTGTATCAGCGCATCACTAGCCTTACTAAAATATCGACGTTTATGTCCCCTCACTAATCATTCTGACACTTGACTTTGTAACGAAAGCACGTCATTCGCGCAAAAGGTTTCTAACTAATAATGTCTAGAATTATAAAGGTTTAATGTTCCGATCATTGCTCCCTTTAGCCAACTTTTTATATGACCGGAACTAACCTTAGACCTTTTCTAATTGCATTAATTGCAAACGTAATTATACGTAATTGTTGTTAATTGCTTAACAAGGTGCAAGTACGGACGGACGGATCGTTTTTATATGTATGCATTCATATACCCTTTTCCCTTACCTATTGTTGGTATAGTGTACTCTTTTGACGTCACATCCGAAATTAACTCTCTTCCTACGAATATCTTACTATTATAAATGTAAATGTTAAGATGTATGGATGGATGTTTGAAGATATCTCCGAAACAGCTTAATAGATCCGTATGTAATTTGGCATAAATATAGAACATAGTCTGGAAGAACACATAGCCTACTTATTAAGTTTTTTAATCAAGCACGGACGGAGTTATAACATTAAATCAAAATCTTTGGATACAGGATGATGCTAAAATGCAATTATAAATTTAATTAAAACCTGGTTATAAAGTTAACATAATAAAATACTTTTTAATTTTTTTTATCAAAAGGTGGCAAACGAGCGAACGGCCACATGAAATCACTGAAATAGCGAAGTGACCGTTGCCCATAGACATATGCAATTGCATATGCGTTGCCTAACTTTAATCGACGGAGGAGAGGATGCACAGAAAGAAAAAATATTTTCCCTTTCAATGCATCTTCTCATCCGGAAAGGTCCACTTCCACTTCCCATCTTTTCCTTATAAGAAAAAGGGTGGGAAGGGAAAGAGGACTAAATTACGCCTTCGGAAATAAAAACTCTTTTATATACTATAGTTTTATTCATTGAATTAACTTTACTAACGTAATCTTGAACTTTCTATACAGCAGGTGCATTTAACCATTAGACTTATAAACCCTTATAAACATCTGCTTACAAAAACACTCGTCGTCTGACCTTTAAACGCATCTAAACAACTTTTACAGTCTTTTTTCATGCACTTTCAAATAGTATAATTAAAGTGTATTTCCACTGTAAAGATAAAATTACCTAAAACAATATAATAGAACTAACAACAGAGCTGTTACGGCTTGTGAAGCGGCGTAAAAAGCTAAAGCAAGCAAATACAGGGGTCTAGGCTTTGAATATGATTTTGTCTTATTCGGTGTCAAGACCCTTGGTCCGTGGGGTCATAGCGCTTTAAGGCTTTTTAAGGAAATATCAAAAGATGTTAGTCGACACAGGGGACCGAAGTGCTGGCAGCAAACTCTGACAAAGAATTAGTATAGCTAATCAAAGGGGGAACGCTGCCAGTATCTTCGGTAACTTGCCTAAAGGGACTCCTTTTAATAATATATTTTAGTTAATTATTTGTTTATAACAAGTAAATATATAATAGGAGCGTCGGTGGTTCAGTGGTCAAGCACTTGACTTGCAATCTGCAGGTCCTGGGTTCGAATCCCGCCATGTACCAATGTGTTTTTCCAATTTACATATGTACATTTATACGACGTTCTTACGGTGTAAGAACATCGTGATGCTGCACATATCTGAGAAGAAATTGAATGATATGTGATACCGCTGGCGAGACGCCGTAGAGTTGGATCTGCGGGAGCTACAAGCGATGGACTGGCAGGAGAAGGCTCAAGACAGGCGACTTTAGCGATCTCTTGTGTCGGAGGCCAAGACTCACTTTGTGTCGATGCACCAGCGGAGTTAGTAAGTTATTTCTAGAATGCCAATTGCCTATAATCTAGTAAGGTTTAATTTTTTTTTTAATTTACAATTTTTTTTTGTAATCATTTTCCTAACTGTTCTCACAATATCAAATAACTTTTTTATATGTTACTAATCTTATTAATATTATAAATGCGAATGTTTAGATGTTTGTTAGAAGATATCTCCATAACGGCTAAACAGATCTTGATGAAATTTGGCATACATATAGAACATAGTCTGAAATTTTATTCTGAGAAATCTCATCGAAAGCGTATTTAATATAATGTTACATTTTATTCATCTATTCAATCTACCCGATAATTCAATATACAAAATAATTTAAAGGCGAATTTACCGTAAACAGTAATTTCACCGGAA